AAGAGCAACCCCAAAGCACATAATCGTCAGATTAAACAAGGTTGAAATAAAGGAGAAAATACTAGGGGCAGCCAGAGAGAAAGGTCGGGTCACCCACAAAGGGAAGCCCATCAGACTCACAGCAGATCTCTCGGCAGAAACTCTACAAGCCAGAAGAGAGTGGGGGCCAATATTCAACATCCTTAAAGAAAAGAACTTTCAACCCAGAATTTCATATCCAGCCAAACTGAGCTTCAGAAGTGAAGGAAAAATAAAATCCTTTGCCAACAAGCAAGCACTCAGAGATTTTGTCACCACCAGGCCTGCTTTACAAGAGCTCCTGAAAGAGGCACTACACATAGAAAGGAACAACCAGTACCAGCCATTCCAAAATCACACTAAATGCTAAAGAGCATCAACATAATGAAGAATCTACAATAACTAACGGGCAAAACAGCCAGCTAGCATCAAAATGGAAGTGTCAAACTCACACATAACAATATTAACCCTAAATGTAAATGGACTAAATGCACCAATCAAAAGACACAGACTGGCAAATTGGATAAAAATCCAAAACCCATCAGTGTGCTGTATCCAGGAAACCCATCTCACATGCAAGGATACACAAAGGCTCAAAATAAAGGGATGGAGGAAGATTTACCAAGCATATGGAGAGCAAAAGAAAGCAGGAGTTACAATCCTCATCTCTGATAAAATAGATTTTAAAGCAACAAAGATCAAAAGAGACAAAGAAGGCCATTACATAATGGTAAAAGGATCAATACAACAAGAAGAGCTAACGATCCTAAACATATATGGACCCAATACAGGAGTACCCAGATACATAAGGCAAGTCCTTAATGACTTACAAAGAGACTTAGACTCCCACACAATAATAGTGGGAGACTTTAACACTCCACTGTCAATATTAGACAGATCAACCAGACAGAAAATTAACAAGGATATCCAGGGCTTGAACTCAGACCTGGAGCAAGCAAACCTGATAGACATTTACAGAACTCTCCACCCCAAATCCACAGAATATACATTCTTCTCAGCACCACATCACACCTACTCTAAAATTGACCACATAATTGGAAGTAAAGCACTGCTCAGCAAATGCAAAACAACTGAAATCATAACAAACAGCCTCTCAGACCATAGTGCAATCAAGTTAGAACTCAGAATTCAGAAACCAACCCAGAACCACACAGCTTCATGGAAACTGAACAACTGGCTCCTGAATGTTGACTGGATAAACAATGAAATGAAGGCAGAAATAAAGAAGTTCTTCGAAACCAATGAGAACGAAGACGCAACATGCCAGAATCTCTGGGACACATTTAAAGCAGTCTCTAGAGGAAAGTATATAGCAATAAGTGCCCATATGAGAAGAATGGAGAGATCCAAAACTGACACCCTATCGTCAATATTGAAAGAGCTAGAGGAGCAAGATCAAAAAAACTCAAAACCCAGCAGAAGACAAGAAATAACTAAGATCAGAGCTGAACTGAAGGAAATTGAGACACGAAAAACCCTCCAAAAAATCAATAAATCCAAGAGCTGGTTTTTTGAAAAGATCAACAAAATAGACAGTCCACTAGCCAGATTGATTAAAAAGAAAAGAGAGAACAACCAAATAGATGCAATAAAAAATGATAAAGGGGAAATCACCACAGATTCCACAGAAATTCAAACCATCATCAGAGAATATTACAAACAACTCTATGCACACAAACTAGTAAACCTGGAAGAAATGGATAAATTCCTGGACTCCTGCGTCCTCCCAAGCCTAAACCAGAAGGAAGCTGAAACTATGAATAGACCAATAACAAGGGCAGAAGTCGAGGCAACAATTAAGAGCCTACCACACAAAAAAAGCCCAGGTCCAGATGGGTTCACAGCTGAATTCTACCAGACACACAAAGAGGAGCTGGTACTATTTCTTCTGAAACTATTCCAAATAATCCAAAAAGAAGGAATCCTACTCAAATCATTCTACGAGACCAATATCATCCTGATACCAAAACCTGGCAGAGACCCAACAAGAAAAGAAAACTTCAGGCCAATATCCATGATGAACATAGATGCAAAAATCTTCAATAAAATATTGGCAAGCCGATTGCAACAGCAAATCAAAAAACTTATTCATCATGATCAAGTAGGATTCATCCCAGGGATGCAAGGCTGGTTCAACCTACGCAAGTCTATAAACGTAATTCACCACATAAACAGATCCAAAAACAAAAGCCACATGATTATCTCAATTGATGCAGAGAAGGCATTTGGCAAAATTCAACAGCCCTTTATGCTAAAAACCCTCAATAAACTCGGTATCGATGGAACGTATCTCAAAGTAATAAAAGCTATTTATGACAAACCAACAGCCAATATCATACTGAATGGACAAAAACTGGAAGCATTCCCTTTGAAATCTGGCACTAGACAAGGATGCCCTCTGTCACCACTCCTATTCAATATAGTACTGGAAGTTCTAGCCAGAGCAATCAGGCAAGAAAAAGAAATAAAGGGTATTCAAATAGGAAAGGTGGAAGCCAAATTGTCTCTATTTGCAGACGACATGATAATATACCTAGAAGACCCCATCGCCTCAGCCCAAAAACTCCTGAAACTGATAAGCAACTTCAGCAAAGTCTCAGGATATAAAATCAATGTGCAAAAATCACAAGCATTCGTCTACACCAACAACAGACTTAAAGAAAGCCAAATCAAGAGCGAACTGCCATTCGCAATTGCTACAAAAAGAATAAAATACCTTGGAATACAACTCACAAGGAACGTAAGAGACCTCTACAATGAGAACTACAAACCACTGCTCAACGAAATCAGAGAGGACACAAACAGATGGAGAAACATTCCATGTTCATGGTTAGGAAGAATTAATATCGTGAAAATGGCTATACTGCCCAAAGTAATTTACAGAATCAACGCTATCCCCATGAAGCTATCATTGACTTTCTTCACAGAACTGGAAAAAACCACCTTGAACTTCATATGGAACCAAAAGAGAGCTCGCATAGCCAAGTCAATTCTAAGCAAAAAGAGCACAGCGGGGGGCATCACACTACCGGATTTCAAACTATATTACAAGGCTACAGTAATCAAAACAGCATGGTACTGGTACCAAAACAGAGATATAGATCAATGGAACAGAACAGAGGCATCAGAGGCAACACAACATAGCTACAACCATACAATCTTTGATAAACCTGACAAAAACAAGCAATGGGGAAAGGACTCCCTGTTCAACAAATGGTGTTGGGAAAACTGGCTAGCCATGTGTAGAAAGCAGAAACTGGACCCCTTCCTGACACCTTACACTAAAATTAACTCCAGATGGATTAAAGACTTAAACATAAGACCCGGCACTATAAAAACCCTAGAAGGAAATCTAGGCAAAACCATCCAGGACATAGGAGTAGGCAAGGACTTCATGAACAAAACACCAAAAGCATTGGCAACAAAAGCCAAAATAGACAAATGGGACCTAATGAAACTCCACAGCTTCTGCACAGCAAAAGAAACAGTCTCTAGTGTGAATCGGCAACCAACAGAATGGGAAAAAATTTTTGCAGTTTACCCATCTGACAAAGGGCTGATATCCAGAATTTACAAAGAACTCAAACAGATTTACAGGAAAAAAACAAACAAGCCCATTCAAAAGTGGTCAAAGGATATGAACAGACACTTTATGAAAGAAGACATATATGAGGCCAACAATCATATGAAAAAATGCTCATCGTCACTGGTCATCAGAGAGATGCAAATCAAAACCACATTGAGATTCCATCTCACGCCAGTTAGAATGGCGATCATTAAAAAATCTGGAGACAACAGATGCTGGAGAAGATGTGGAGAAAAAGGAACACTTTTACACTGTTGGTGGGAGTGTAAATTAGTTCAACCATTGTGGAAGACGGTGTGGCGATTCCTCAAGGCCTTAGAAATAGAAATTCCATTTGACCCAGCAATCCCATTACTGGGTATATATCCAAAGGACTATAAATCGTTCTACTACAAGGACACATGCACACAAATGTTCATTGCAGCACTGTTTACAATAGCAAAGACCTGGAATCAACCCAAATGCCCATTGATGATAGACTGGATTGGGAAAATGTGGCACATATACACCATGGACTATTATGCAGCAATCAGAAATGATGAGTTCGTGTCGTTTATAGGGACATGGATGAATCTGGAGAACATCATTCTCAGCAAACTGACACAAGAACAGAAAATGAAACATCGCATATTCTCACTCATAGGCGGGTGATGAAAAATGAGAACACATGGACACAGAGAGGGGAGTACTAAACACTGGGGTCTATAGGGGGAAAAGGGGAGGGCCAGTGGGAGGGGGAGGTGGGGAGGGATTGCCAGGGGAGAAATACCAAATGTGGGTGAAGGGGAGAAAGGAAACAAAACACACTGCCCTGTGTGTACCTATGTAACTGTATTGCATGCTCTGCACATGTACCCCAAAACCTAAAATGCAATAAAAAAAAGAAAAGAAAAAAATATATATAAATAAATAAATAATTAAATAATTTAAAAAAAAAAGAAAAGAATATGTGTGACCGCTCTTTGACTTTAAATAGGAATTATGGTTTGAGAATAGGCCAAGGTAAGTTCTTCTCTATAATGGCATCTCCATGGAGGTGGCAGACTAAACTCATGTGGCCTTTATCTCAGCTGCAGAGAGCTGCCTGGGCACTAGAGCTGAGTTTTAGAGTTACTTTAGAGTACTTCTTTCACTTTGGCTACAATTACCATGATAGCTCTTAATCATGATTAATTAAGAGTAGAAAAAAATTTTCACTTGTAGAGGGAAAGCAGTAAACAAATCTTTGGCTAAAAACTTGAATAGAGAGAGCAAAAATGAGAAAGAAGGTGGTTTGGGACATGGCCCCAGGGATATTAAACTACTCTAACTTTTTTGAGTTGAGCTGGAATGGCTAGATAGAATAAGACTGAAAAAGAAAGCTTGGAAGTTTGTCCTGTGAAGCCATTAGAACCTCCTGGCAGATGACAAAATATATTTGGATACGGATGTCTCCAGGACGTTAGTGCCAAGGCTCCAGAGAACGCGCGACTGCATCAGCTTGAATGCCTGCTTCTAACTCCTCTGGACACCGTCAGAGATCTTAGAACTCATCTCTTTAACATGGGATCCATGCCCAGGACCAGATCCCTGACTTCTCTATAAACTACCAGTGCTGTGACACTGCAGCAACCCTCAGCTAACAGAAGCATGAAAGGGCTCAAGCAGAACCAAACCCAGATTTGGTAAGTAGCATGGGGATTTTTCAAAAGTCTAACTAACTAGAATAGATAAAACCACCACAGGAATCTTACATTTCACCCTATTTTTAAGGCAACATATATCAGCTTAACAGTTTATATTTTAAAAGCACTTTCCATCTATATTATGTAGTCTTTAAAACAACCGTATAAACTCTGTATTGTAAAAAAGCTTATTTTGAAAATATGAATTTACAGCATCTCAAACAAGATGACAAAAATAGTGAGGGCCAGGGCAGGGACTCAAATCCTGACCCTGATTACATATTTTATGTTTCTTCCCTAGAAATATTGTGGTTTGACTGTAAAATGTAAGCAGAAATTTAAACAAATGCTGAGCCAGAAAAAGACCAAGAATTAAAAACTATCATGAAAACAAAACATAAACAATGTATTTTGTGACACAAAAGTAAATATTTCAATGTTTATTTTTAAATTTCTTTTATTATGTCTGTTCCCAATATCATTTTGTCTTCCAGTAACTCCTCTCCACCACGAATCTGGTAACCTCTCTGGTAGGATAATCTCACCTTAGGCTTTCATCCTTCCTTTCTTCCCTGTCCTGTATCCAATCCCCTATTGATCTCAAAGGATCTTTGTTTGCCTTATCAACTGCATTTTCCCCCATTTATTCCATCTTTTGATTCAATATATCTCCCAAACTGTCCTGTGTAAAAGGGTTATATACAGATATAGAACAGGAGTGCTTTATCTGGATGTTTTAGAATTGATGGCAGTCATGGGCTCACATATTTCCCAATGGAATTTTGGCATTAGGGAGCAAAGACCTAAGACTGCTAGCATAATTCCCTTCCATTACCTTTTAGAAACACTCAGAACCTCATCCCCATCCCAGCTCACTCATTTCCATTACCCAGTTATCAGTAAGGGTATCAATAGGAAGAAAAATCTTCCCAAATGAAAACAGATAATTTTCTAGTTCTAGCATTTTGACTCACTCTCTACCAAGAAGATGTACTTCAAAAAAAGAAAAAGGGCTTTAATTTTCCTGTGCTGAACTTTCCAGGCTTTACTGAAAAGAAATGACTGCTATTTGGTAAGCAGTGGTCCTACAAGCAAAGGCAAGGAATACATATAATAAAGCAACATCACTTTTTGTGGAAATGAACAGTGGGAATTTTAGCCATCAGCACAATTACTTACTGTTATAAATACTATGTATGGAAGGGAGGCCAAGATCAGCTAGTTTTCTGGGTGTACTAGAAACAATGAATTCCTTATATATCATGAAAAGAAAATTATTAGGCCAGGAAAATGGAGCTACTGGAATGAAATCAAGTGAGATCTAATGTTGAGAATGTGATTAGAGCACATGCGGTATTCACTAAGTTGATTCTTTATGTTTTAACCTCAGAAAGCATTTTAAAGTTCTTTGTTATTTTGACTGATGTGATGTTTCTACTTATGACAACATTCATTTTATAAACGTTGATGCTTATCTTTGGTTTCTGAAACACTACTGCTAAAAGTGTATTGGGTCACTATGTTAGAACATGATTCTTGTCATTTTTATTCAACTGGATCAAAATATTGATTTGAGAATGACAGGAATAGCTAACTTTATGAATCTAGACTTAACTGTGTCTGGTTCATTCACAAACAGGTTAGTACACTAATTTCTTCCATTTGCCAAAGTACCATTTAGTTGATATCGGGAGGTGTGAGGCAGCCAGGCAGAAGGGGCAGTCCTATAATTGTTTGATTCTGCTGCCCTATTCCTTTCTTGCTGAAAATCAAGTAGTAGAATAGGTCTCCTCTCATCTCCCTCTCTCCTACAGAACCCAAGCCACTTAAAGGAGATGGGCTATGTCTTATCTCTGGATGTGGCTTTGAATATAGAAGCCATCAGTTCTTGTTACACTCACTCCTCCCATCAACATGTAATAAATTACTAAAAAAATGTGTTCCTAAGTAGTATCTGCAAGTACTAATCCTGGTTTTTACTTAAGGCAAATTAACTGTGCAGTCCCCCCATTAATAAAAATAACAACAATAGCAAAAGAAAATTTATCACATACCAGCTACTCTTCTATGCATTTTAAACATATATTACATTCTTTAATTCTCACAATATTAGACATCATCCCCTTTTCATGAATAAGAACAACTGAGAAAACGATAATTTAAATAACTACCCTAAGCTTCTCAGGACTTTCCTATGGTCTTCAGGCTCTCTAGCTCCAGAAGCAGTGGTGTTCACTGTTGCGTTAAATGACCTTAAATATTGAGCTATTAAATGTGAGGGTATATTAAGAGAGTTCTTAGGAAAATTTCTATAATGTTCTAAAATATCAATTTTATTCTGTAGTTGGTATGAATATAGATTCCATGGGGTATAAATGACTAATAAACGAGATGAATACACACACTGAGATATTTAGATTTTTAAAAAGAAACGTACTAAGCCAAATTGGTCAGTGTTTAAGCAATGTAATTAAATGAAGACTATCTCAAGCAGAAACATTTTCCTAAAAGGTTGCATTCTCTCCGTTTCTCAAGATATTCATCATGGGAAGCAGCCAATGCTAAAGATAGATTTAGATCCTACTTAGTTTAAATGTGGTTTTACTTAAAAATGAAAATCTAGTCTTTCCATAGCCCTTTCTAAATTGGATATGCCTTCCAAAATTGTTTTTAAAATATGTAGAAAGAATCATTTTAGAAGATTTTTATTTAATGTAAAAGTAGTGAAACACTTGATGATATTACCACATTACCACATGTACGGGATATGCTCCTGCGTCATAAAATCCTTTTGTTCATGACACCAGGAAATACAAAATGCTACTACAGCACTAAGTATATCAATCACATTAGTCATCTAATGGGTAGGAGAGGACAATCTATGGAAGTGCTTTATGAATTTGTTACTTTATACTTCAGCCAGATTATGTCAGTTTTCATATCTATGCAATGATACAGAAAGGGGTTAAGAACCAGATGGTTAGGAGAATTTGTGAAGTTCTATGAAAAGTGAGAATCTTTTTTTTTCCCCAAGGGATACTAAAACAAATTTTATTTACTGATGAGAAGAGCAGCAATATGACATTGCAACAGACATGAAAATAAGAGAATGGAAGCCATTACTGTAACAATCTACTTCACTGAGTCCCTGAGTTCCAGAAACAGCACCTCTCTCCTAAACACAGCTTATGCTATTCCCAATCTCTGGATTGTTCACCATTTCACCATTTGTTTCTCTTTCTCCCTTGTCACCTGTTTACCTGACTCCTTGCATTTGATTGCTTCCGGTTTCCTAGTTTTCATTTACAGTCAAACTAGAAAACAAGAATCTCGACTAGGTTCATGTTAGTCAAAGGTATATGTTAAATTATGAATGAGTAATTAGATACATGAAATGAGGCCAATTTTTATCTGATTATACAAACATATTAGTGAGATGAAAAAGTTCTACAACAAATGTAGATGAAATACAAATTGTATATAAACAGATAATTATATTTTTTATCTCGTAAAGTAATAGTTTTATTTTAGCTACTCAACTATATTAGTAAATTTTTGGTCTATTTATATTCAAAATTCTGTGACTTCTTAGCAGAGATAGCAGATTCCCAGGCTTTGGTCAAATAAAAAAAAAATTACATTGCTTTTTGCCAGAAGCTCACAATTTGCTAATTTTTATACTGTCCAACATACCTCTTGAATGTACTTATTTGTAGGTTAAATTGAGCTGCATGATTTAGAGGGTTAGAAGATGTATAAGAGTGTTTCTCATATATGAGTTAACTGAGGGGCTTTATAAAGAAATAAAACCAAAGTTAAATTACAAACTATTGAAATCAAAATTTTAAAAGCTTCATAGAGATGGAAAGGGTACGATATATTTCCTTCCCATTATGAGGATCACAGCTAACATTCTTAAAACAAAAGACAGGTTAACAAAAAAGTGTAATACATTTATCTGATGAAAGTTTTATATGACACAGGAGCCTTAAGAAATGAAGACCTAAAGACTCAAGGGAAGACTGTGCACTTCTATGCTTGGATTCAATAATGAGTGAACAGCCATAGAGACATGTGATTAGACAAAAAGGAATTATGTAATAGTAATAGATTGACTGGGGAAACCCAGCAAGGCCTTTCTGATCAGATTCTTCTTGGCCTCTGTGTGTGACATTCCTTCTTCCAAAGTATAAGGCTTGGCCCTTTCTGGAATGAGGGCATTGAGACCAGCTCTCAGACAAGGCTACTCAATTTCTTTATGGCAATATCTTACATAGAAAAGTGAAGGAAGGTGAAGTAATATTTCTGAGGTTCATGGCTGACTTTGGAGTAGAGGGGTTCTAGTTTCTATGATCCACGTTGGAGAAGAGGAATTCTAGATTCTATAACTTGGGAGAGAAAGAGGAGCATCGAGATAGGAAGCAGGAGAAGGTCAGAAAGCCTTTGCTTCTGAGTCTTCTCTCACATCATTTAGTTCAAAGTACTTAGCATACCCAAGTGCCAAATTTTAAGGTATCATTTTAGGAGCTCCAACAGCTTCAAAGTTAATAAAATTCGAGCTAACATCTTTAATGTAATATGAGTATTGCTTTGCTACAATGTACTGGAGTTTATGACACAGGCTGTTTTGAGTTTAAATAATAGTATACTATTATTTAATGCTAACATTGATTGTTCTGCACTTGTATCCCAGAACTTAAAATATAATAATAATAAAAAATTATGATTCAGGTACTGTTTTACATGATTTGGGTTTATAGAAGTTTTTAAACATATTACAACAATCCTATAAGGAAATGTTTGTTTACATATTTATAAAAACTGTAAGTTATGATAATTTATCAAAATCAGGCAGTTAGTAAGTGATGGAGTAAGTTTAAAAACTGGCAGTCTGACAACAAAATTCTCTTCAATAGTACATGACATTGTCTCTAAAATAAAATTTCCAATGCTATTCCTCTCCACAATTGAGTACTCAAAAGAATCATATAGGGAAATAATGTTATTGGGATTTAAAATATAAAATATGATATTTCTAACATGTCTACCTTTGAGGTTATGTAGCTAGAAACTGTGAAATTAAACTAAAAAGACATTAAAAAGAGAAAGGTATACAATTTTTATTTAATGTTAATATTTAAAATTTTCATGTGCAGGGAAGTAGTCACAGAATAGAAGTCAAGATCCAAAGAGGTGATTAAATTTGTATTACGTATATATAATCTTAGCAGAGCATGACAAATTGTGAAGATGTGATTATAAAAAAAAAGAAAAAGAAAAACATCCATGCTTCTACAGGCAGTAAACCGTGGAAGGCAAGAACATAGGGGTGGAAGGTAAGAGCGAACTAGTAAGATTTTGTTTATGCAGATTCATCTTAGGACTGTCTCCATGTGCATCAATAATTGTTGCTCCTTCCTTCCTGGTGTGAAAGAGGAAGGTAGCTTAATATGGCTTGAATCTGTGTCCCCATGCAAATCTCATGCTTAATTACAATCCCCAATGTTGGAGGTGGGGCACAGAGAAAAGTGATTAGATCATGGAGGCTCTTTCTCATGAATGGATCAGCATCATCCCCCTTTGTACTGTCTTCACCATAGTCAGTGATGTTCCTGAGATCTGGTCATTTAAACAGCTGTGGCACTTCCTCCCTTTCTCTCTTTCTCTTGCTCCTGCTCTTGCAGAAAGCCACCTGCTCCTGTCACAAGTAAAATCTTCCCGATGCCTTCCCAGAAGCTGATGTCACTATGCTTCCTGTACAGCCTGAAGAACCATAAGCCAGTTAAACACTTTTTCTTTATAAATTACCCAGTTTCAGATATTTCTTTATAGCAATGTGATAACGAACTAATATGTATCTTCACAAGGAAAAGTTATGATCTGCTGTTAGGCAGACAGGAGAAAATAGAGAGCTTTTTCTCAATTGCCTTTAGCTTAAATACTTCTTACGTCACAGCAGCATATTTTGGAGTGGCATATCTGATACCCTTCAAATGGAAAAAAAAAGAGTTGCTTATCAGTAGTTAAAAATGTCAGAGTCATTCTTAGCCATGTAGAAACCTAATGAGTCCTAGTTTCTAAGAGTCGTTTTCTGCTCTTCTGAGTATATTACATGCTTGATGCAAAGAAGAAAAGAATAGGTTACTAGATATTATTATTATTTAGGATTATGATTATATGAGTAAGACAGGATAAAGAGGAAACCATCTAGACATAATAACATACAACTGAAACATTTAAGTGCAGAAAAATTTCGTACTGAAGAGGAGTAATAAAACCCACACCAGTCACAATTATAGTTCCAACATCTGGAAGAACAGTTGGTACAGAAAATATTCCAACCCATGAGCATTAGTCAGAGCTAGCTTCACATTGTAGTCAGAATGTGGCCCATGGCATGTGCATTTGTTAGAGGTGGCAAAAGTGGTGGTATGAAAGAGAGCTATTCCAAGTCCTTTGTGAGCGGTAGCAGTCATTTCCTGGACTGTCTCTCTTAGTGCATTAAGAAGTGAATGTAAAACAAAGGTAATAAATAGTTTTACCTATTTCTAGTTAACTGACTTGCAGGTTTAATCAGTACTCCCTAGACCAATGTCCACGGAACTATCTGCCCAACAGTGGGATTGCACACCTCCAACATCAGTGATTTTTTTCCTCCAAAACCTGTTTATGCAGTTTTTGTTATTACGGTTACTTTAATTAAGTTTAATGCTGTCAACATTGCAAACAAAGTTTTAGATTAAATGTGAGATGACTGAGAGGTTGGAGAAAATGATAAAATTAAAATTTGTTGCTCAGAGTCCTTTTAAATATAAATTCATATTCTAATGTATATAAATCCAAACTGAAAACATAGATGCCTTGTGACTACAGGTTACAAAAAAAAAAAAAGAAAAAAAAACTTGCTAGGCATGGTGGTGTGTCCTTATACTCCCAGCTACTTGGGAGGACCATTGCTTGAGTCCAGGTGCTCTGGAATATAGGGCACTATGCTGATCCAATGTTCACACTAAGTTTAGCATCAATATGGTGACTTCCTGGGAGTGGGGAACCACCAGGTTGCTAAAGGAGGAGTGAAACTGCCCAGGTCAGAAACAGAGCAGGTTAAAACTCCCATGCTGATCAGAAGTGGGATTGTGCCTATGAACAACCACCATACCATTGCACTTCAGCCTGGGCAGTTTAGGAATACCCCAACTCTAAATATAAATATATATTCGATCCTGAGTATAAATGATTCTCCTGTCCCACCCTACAGAGTAGCTGGGATTATAGGCACCCGCTACCATGCCCAGCTATTTTTTTTATATTTTTTAGTAGAGATGGGGTTTCACTATGTTGGCCAGGCTGCTCTCAAACTCCTCACCTCCTGGTCCGCCCATCTCAGCCTCCCAAAGTGCAGGGATTACAGGCATGAGCCACTGTGCTCAGCCAAATAATTTTTTTAAGTAAATAAATATTTTTAAAAGATTGAAATTAAAGCAGTCTTGGGCTGGCATGCATTGGTATTTTAGCAAATAAACATTGTATGTGTTAGGTTAAATATGTGTCTTACAACTATATGTATATATTGAATTTAAATGTATAATATTTATACATTATAAGATAATATTGGAAAGCATTAATAGGTTAATCATTTTGAGTTACTGTTGTGTCTGTCAACTTAATTTAGTGAAATAAATGCAGTAAATATACCTATCATGTGACTTGCATGTTTTAAATTTCAAGTAACAAATCACAGAATGCCCTTCTGCACCAGCTTACAATGTTCCTTTTTTTAGAAAAATTAATATTTACTTATTTATTTATTGAGACAGAGTTTCACTCCGTCACTCTGACTTGAGTGTAGTGGCACAATTTTGGCTCACTGCAAACTCTGCCTCCCGGGTTCAAGCGATTCTTGTGTCTTTCAAAACTCATAGTGTTTTCAGAAAGCTGATGGATTTGTGTTGGGCCTCATTCAAAGCTATCCTGGGCTACCTTGCTCACAGGCTGTAGGTTGAACAAGTTTGGTTACAGGCTACCACATTTATTTTCATTTATTTTTAGACCTAGAAAAGAAAGACATAGTGATTCTGTTAGATTAAACTGTCAGAATTTGCAAAACAGATTTCTAATAAGTCCACAAATTATCCTTTATCTTTTGAAATCAAAGAAAACAAGTATTTTTCTCAAAAAATTGAGATATTTGGTATTATTTGGTGTGAGAAGTGAAAATAATAATGCCAGGACACGGAGCTCAGTGTTAAACTTCTCTTTTTAACTTTTATTTTAGGTTCGGGGATATATATGCATGTTTGTTATACAGGTAAAGTCATGTTTTGGGGACTCGTTGTACAGATTATTTTATCACTAAGCCAAGACCCATGAGTTATTTTTTTTTTAATCTTCTATTTCCTTTCAGCCTCCACCCTCACATAGACCCCGGTGTCTGTTGTTTACATTTTTGTGTGACATAAAATAGTCTTTTTCAAATATACACAGATAACACTTCCAGGTGAATTATTCTTTCAAACTGGAAGATATGTGCAGGCTTTGTCATCTGAGAGCACAGGTTCAAATTCTGTGCCTTGTCTCTCACTAGCAACTCATTCCAAAAAGATTACATAACCTCTCTAGTTCTCATCATATAAATGTAATTTGTACATCTTAAAGCTTTATACGCTGAAAGTGCAATAGTATATTTGAGAGTGCCTATTCTGGTATGCAACAGATATTAACAATTCAAGAACTTGTTTTGTTTTGTTTTTTCCTTTCTCAAACACTTTATCTTCATCCTTTTGTGTAAGATTGCATTACAAATTATAGTTTTTATTCTTCAAGGCTTACTTATGTTAGTTATTATTGCTGCCATGGATTTTTTCTTTTATCTCCAGTACCCATCCATCTCATTTAAAAAGCTCAGACTATAGTTTTAAAAGAAGTTATCTATTTCAGAATTTTCTTTCTCTGTCACATCAGTGGGGTACTAATATCCACATCAGAATACAAGAGGACCAAAAGACAAGACCAAACCTGGAAAATAAAATCTTCTACCTACCCAGGTTTCCAAGTGAGAATCTGATATTTTTATTATAACCTGCAAGGGATTGTTTAGAAACATTCCCCCTTTAATTCCTTTCAATAGTTACCAAAGATAAAAAAATTTAAGTATGTATATTTTAAATATATATATTTTATTATATATATATAAACAGATGTACACATATACTTGTAGCACATATAGAGATCAAATGTTTTTAAAGATTATTTTGCATGCTAGATGTTTTCAGTGTTATATTATTCTTATTATCATATTTTTCATTTGTTATGTTTAAAGTACAGAAAACTATTTTATTGTAATTTTTAAAAACTAAGAGACTTGGTAAAGAGCCACTATTTGGTCAGTTCCCAGGATTTGTTATTCTACATAAATTTTTAACACCTTCATCTACTAAACAATGTAGCTCTCTTATACTTTTTACTCAATTGAAGTTCTCCCCTAGTTTACAATTATAAACCAACAAAATAAAATGAAATTTTAATGAGTTGTGGTTACCAAAATGTCTATAAATACTAATGACCAAATATTGAAACTAAGTTTTTACTGAACATGATGAGTGTATCTCCTCTCAAAGTGATCCTATGGTGCTGAAGATAGCAAGAGGTAGCAAAGGAATTTAAAAAAATTAAACAGGTAATTGAGAACTGACTCTGTTTCCATAGATACTGTGATTCATTACTGGGTACATTTCACTGTTCTGCTTCCCTAAATGTGGCTAAATGTGGCACATATACACCATGGAATACTATGCAGCCATAAAAAAGGATGAGTTAACACCCTTTGCAGGGACATGAATGAAGCTGGAAGCCATCATTCTCAGCAAACTGATGCAAGAACAGAAAACCAAACCCCACATGTTCTCACTCATAAGTGAGTATTGAACAATGAGAACACATGGACACAGGGAGGGGAGCATTACATACTGGGTCCTGTCAGGGTGCAGGGGCTAGGGGAGGGATAGCAGGGGATAGGGGTATAGGGGTGGGACAGCATTAGGAGAAATACCTAATGTAGATAACAGGGTGATGGAGGCAGCAAACCATCATGGCACGTGTATATCTATGTAACAAACCTGCATGTTCTACACATGTACCCCAAACTTGAAATATAATTTAAAAAGGGGAAAAAAAAAGATTTGACTGACCCACTAGATTTCAGACTTGCCTGGGCCCTGCAGACCCTTTGTTTTGGACAATTTCTCCAATTTGGAATGGTTGTATTTTTCCAATGTCTGTATCAATATTGTATCCAGGAAATAATTAGCTTGCTTTTGATTTTGCAGCAAGATGTAGAGTTTGGACTTTGTCTCAGATGAGAGTTTAAACTTTGAAGTTTTCAGTTAATGCTGAAATGAATTAAAACTTTGGGGGACTGTTGGAAGTCATGATTCATTTTGAAATGTGAGGACATGATATTTGTCAGGGGCCAGGAGTGGAATGATATGGCTTGGCTCTGTGTTCCCACCCAAATTTCATTCTGAATTGTACTCCCATAATTTCTACATTTTGTGGGAAGGACCTGCTGGGAGATAACTGAATTAGGCGGGTGGTTTCCCATGATTCTTGTGGTAGTGAATAAGTCTCACCAGATCTAATTGTTTTATCAGGGATTTCTGCTTTTGCATCTTCCTCATTCTCTCTTCGCCTGCTGCCATCCATGTAAGACATGATTGTGAGACTTCCCCAGCCACATGGACCTGTAAGTCTAATTAAACCTCTTTCTTTTATAAAATGTCCAGTCTTGGATATGTGGACTAATATTACTTCCATCATATTTCTCCATAGATATAAGGGCATACTCTCATAGAATGGTTAACAATGAGAACACATGGACACAGGGAGGGGAGCATCACACACTGAGATCTGTGGGGGGTGGGAACTAGGGGAGGTACAGCAGGGGGTGGGGAGTTGGGGAGGGATAACATGGGGAGAAATGCCAGATATGGATGATAGGGAGGAAGGCAGCAAACCACATTGCCATGTATGTACCTATGCAACAATCTTGCATGTTCTTCACATGTACCCCAAAACCTAAAACGCAATTATATATATACACACAAATATATATACACACACACACACACACACACACACACACACACACACACACATATATATATATATATGAACTATATACGTTAGCATATCATGACCTGAATGAATGTAGGCAACATCACAAGACAGTTTAAACATTGTTTTTGTTTTTTGGTTTTTTTTGAGAAGGAGTTTCGCTCTTGTTACCTAGGCTGGAGTGCAATGGCGCGACCTCAGCTCACTGCAACCTCCGCCTCCTGGGTTCAGGCAATTCTCCTGCCTCAGCCTCCTGAGTAGCTGGGATTACAGGCACGCACCACCATGCCCAGCTAATTTTTTGTATTTTTAGTAGAGACAGGGTTTCACCATGTTGACCAGGATGGTCTCGATCTCTTGATCTCCTGATTCACCCGCCTCAGCCTCCCAAAGTGCTGGGATTACAGGTGTGAGCCAGCGCGCCCAGCTAAACATTGTTTCAAATTAAAAGAACAACAACAAAATATAGTTATGATACCAGATAGGTACTTCTGGAAATAGAAGTAATTCTTCCAAATTTACTTTTAAATGTCCTTCTCCAGAATCCTCTTGCTAAGGCCAATTAAAATCCAGTGTCATAATATATAAAACAAACATACAAGTCCCTGCAAGGTGAAGAGAAGGCAGACCAGCAAGAAACTCTGGTAACATAGGTGTGCTTTTACTGGGTTTTCATTTAGGCTCATATGTCCTAGAGTTGGAGCCAAAGAAGGCTGGAATCCAGAAACACAACAGCAAACAAAATAATTTCTGAACAAATACTGATCTCACTTCCAAAGGAACTGATCACTCTTCCAAAGTTAACAACTTAGGTAGATAGAAATTGTCTATGTCTGTTTACACATGCTGTATAGAACTGCCTGAGACTGCATAATTTATAAAGGAAAGAGGTTTAATTGACTCACAGTTCAGTGTAGGGGCTGGGAAGGCCACAGCAAACTTATAATCATGGTGTGAGTTGAAGGGGAAGCAAGGCACCTTTTTTACAAGTGGTAAGAAGAAAAATGAATGCAGGAAGAACTACCAAACACTTATAAAACCATCAAGTCTCATGAGAACTCACTCACTATCATTAGAACAGCATGGAGGAAACCACTCGATTGATTCAATTACCTCCACCCGGTCTACCCCTTGACACATAGCGATCATGGGGATTACGAAGATTACAATTCCAGATGAGATTTTGGTTGGAGGACACAGCTGAACCATATCAGAAACCATTTAGAAAATTACCACTCTACTCCTGCCAAACACAAAAGAAAATTGTGGCCCAACCCACCCCCCATGCCAAAAAAGGATGAGCAGGTTTCCATGCCCACAAGGCTTCAATGAGACTTGTAATAACAGTAGCTGGTTGACGTCCAAGAAGGAAGCTTACATTTTCATCCACAGTGGATGAAACCCCTCCTCATGGTCTCAGTGGAAATCACCTGTGGAGCTGGAACTTCCACCCCTACCTGTGGTGAAAACAATAGTGTCAAAATCGGCTATATGGAAAGTCAAAATTTTCAAAATGTCCCTGTGGTTATGAGATAATTCCTTTTCTCTGTTGTGTTCACTAAAGCCACTTGGGAAGAAATAATGAAGGAGCACTATGTATCCTAGCCAAGAAAGTATCAGAAAGGCTTATTGTAGAGCCCGAACTCTCAACCTAGCTCAACTATGAAGAGCTCCCACCTTTATCAGGTGTAAATGGAGGCCTAGTGAGAAAGCTGGACTTCTATCCTCACCTGAAAATAATTAGACAATTCCCTCCATCACATCTAAGTGAGATTGTAGTGGGGTCAGAGAGAGCCAAGTAAAATAGAAGGTTTAAGTATAATCCAGTCTCAAAACACAATACCCATAATATCTAGGTTTTAATTTTTAGTAAATTACTCCTCCTAAAAAGAATCAGGAAAATCTCAAACTGAATGAGGAGAAAAAGGTAATCACATGTCAACACAGATATGAGAGATGTTAGAATTATTTAACAAAGATTTTACCACAGCCATTATCAAAATACTTCAACATACACTTACTAACACATTTTCAGAAATGAAAAAAGCAGCAAAGACGTAGAAGATATGAATAAGAAACAAAGACAATGTTTGAACTTAAAAATTCAATAACCAGAAAGCTCAACAGAAGGGCTTAGCAGCAGGGTAGAGAGAACAGGGAAAGAATCAATGAACTAGAAGATAGAACAACAGAAATCACCAATCTAAAACCCAGTAAGTACTGAAAAAATAAAATAAGCAGAGTTGCAGGCACTTTTGGGACTATAGCAAAAAAAAAAAAAAAAAAAAAAAAAAGTATACCATTCACATCGTTGGAATCTTAACAGAAGAAAATAAAAGGAGCAGAACAAAAATGTACTGAAAAATGGATGAAAACTTCCCAAATTTTGCAAAAGGACTAAACCTACAGATTTAAGAAGCTAAATGAACTCAAAACAAGATAATCCTAAAGAAGTTCATGGCAAGTTATATCATATTCAAACTTCTGAAAACTAAAGAAAAAAATTTATAGAGAGAATGGCACCTTGCCCATGAGAGCAAACAATTTGAAGGACTGAATTTCTTACCAGAAATGATGAAAGCCAAAAAAAGTGTCATAGTCTTTTAAGTCCTGAAAGGAAACAACAACAACAATCATGTACATCCACAATTCTACGTCTACCGACAATATTCCTCAGGATCAAAAGGGAAAATAAGATATTCTTAGATTAAGCAAAAGTACCTTTCCTTATGGATCATAGCAAAGATCCTTTTGCCATATAAACTAACTATATTCTTAGATTTTTTTAAAAAAATAGCTAAAGGAGAATGTCTCTAAACAGAAATAAAATTGTATAATGAGAGATTAGAGAGAACAGAAGAGCATATTAGGCAAAAAATGTGGATAAATATAATTGAGTTTTATTCTTTTTGAATTTTCTTAATTATATTTGACATTTGAAGTCACAATTATAATCCTGATATAATTCAAAATGTAAATGCAAGAAATATTTAAAACAGTTATAAGTGGAAAAGTAATTTTTCTAGATGTCACCAAAACATGTAAAATGATGTGGCTAGTAGAAAAACTATATAAACATAATACAATACCTAATTAACCATTAAGATAAGTTATTAAAAGAATATATTTTAAAACATTATAGATAGTACCTACCACCTCTACAACAGTATTTCAGGAGGAGTTTCAAAGACCCTGTATTCAGAAAAAAAAATCACAATTGGTGAATATTTTTAAAAAAAAATTAAAATCTTTAAAATTGCTTTGAGTGCATACAAAAAATAATCAATTTTTTTTTAGAAAATCTAAATTATATAAAGAAAAGCAATACCTGGGCACAGTGGCTCATGCCTTTAATCCCAGTGTTTTGGAGGTTGAAACAGAAGGATTGTTTGAAACCAGAAGTTTAAAAGCAGCCTGGGCAACATAACAAGATCCCATAAAACAAAACAAAACAAAAATCCAGAAATGGTGGTACATGCTTGTAGTTCCATCTACTTAGGAGACTGAGGTGGGAAGATTGCTTGAGCCTAGGATTTTGAAGCTACAGTGAGCTTTGATCATGCCATTGCACTTCAGCCAGGGCAGCAGAGTGAGACCCTATCTCCAAAAAATAAACATACAAAAAAAAAAAGCAAAAGTCTTTGATATGAGTGTAATTACTCAATCTTTTCTACCTCTCTAGCTCTACATAATAAACATTCTAGGCCACACAGGTAGAATGAAGAAGGCATGGTTTCCTCTTTCACGTGCTACTAAGTTTAGGCAATAGTTTCCTCCCAGGAAAGCTGGTCATTAGCATTTCTCATCTACCACCAGCCCCGTCACATACACCAGCTCGGTTTTGCAGAAGTTTCATTCTACGTAGGAGTAGCTAAGAGTAACAGGTCTCTATTCCTTCCTTTGAGTATCCTCTTATACACTGGAATATAGACCCTATGTGCAACAGGTCAAAAACACTGAGCCCCATTTGTATGGTCCTCAATTGTTCAAAGGTGAAACTCGTAAGTAGAAGAGACAAGATGAGAAGACCAGTTGTCACCACGATGCTCAGTGCCCTATTCTGAAAGCAAAAGTGTTATAGTAAGAATATACTGTCTACCTAAGACCAATAAGAGGAAAACAATATTTACTCTTGCCACTTTTAAAAAACATTGTCCTAGAACCAAAATAAAACAAAAAACAGACAGTTATTACAAATCAAAATAGCCCACAGAGGGCTCAAGGGCCCATTAAAAAATCTGCAGCAACACAGTGGAGAAAAAAAAATGGAGAATATCCACATAGAAAGAATCTCTAGTGATACTGACATACCTAAGACACCAGATGATGGCTAAGTGCAAAGAAGAAAGAGGCAAGCTATTGGTATCAGCCATGTGATTTGAGTCAACATGCTCCCCAGCAACCTGCTACACAGAGGACACTGGCATCTCCTGTCACTGAGGTAACACAAAAACTAATCCTGCCAGGAAATCCCAGAGAGAAAAACATGACTGCACACCCCTGTTCCCCACAGAAAAGTATCTACTAGGGAAAGGAGCCACTATCTAGCCAGACTCTGCATGTACCCCAAGCCTTAAACATGGCTGTTCTTTGAGTCTCCAAAGTACAGATCCAGGCTCAGTGGTAACA